CGGGCGGCTGCACGACGATCGCAGTCCTCGGTCTTGGCCTGCCACTCCCTCGAGAAGGACTCAGGATGGGCAGGGACACATGACCGTAGTGGGTGGACGTATAACATCTGTGCTGGGGAGCGACCTGTGAAGTTGGGGGTATTCCGCAATTCCAATAAACCCCGGTCAAACTTCTCACAGTCAATGTTGCCTGAGGGTGCCGTCTTGAGGATGAGATGCTTGACGGACTTTACGGCAGCCTCGGCATGTCCATTGGACTGGGGATAATGTGGCGAGGACACCACATGATGAACTCCCCATCGCTCCATGCAGTCCCGGAAGTCGTTGCTGGTGAATTGGGGCCCGCCGTCAGTCCTCAGGCGGAGAGGGACACCCACTTCCCGGAAGTAGCGACAGAACATACGTACTGTATGAGAGGCAGTAGTGTTGACTCCGCAGGGAACGACAACAGGCCACCCTGAGAGCCGGTCGGCGATGACGAGAAAGGACTTTCCCGCCACAACGAAGAAATCCGCAGAGACGGACTCAAAGGGCCTCGTAGGGTTGTCGTTGTTCATGAGGGGTTCCTGCTGCTGACTAGGCTGCAGCACCTGGCATGGCTCGCAGACTTGAACGGAACTAGCGATGTCAGAGTCGATGCCTGGCCAAAAAACAGCTTGTCTCGCCCGGCGCTTCGTAGCTTCCACACCCCTGTGGCTGTCGTGCAGGTGGGCTAGGGTGCGGCGGCGGAGGGCGGCAGGAACCACAACTCTTGCTCCATACAAGACGAGGTCGCCATCAGCATAGAGGTCGTCCCACATCTTCCAGTATGGGAGTAAAGAGCTGTGTAAGTCGTACCGGTTGGAGGGAAATCCCGAGGTCACGCAGTTCAGTAGACGGATGTACGAAGGGTCCACTCTTGCCGCGGCTCGGAGTTCCTGAAGAGTCCTGTCGGCGTCCTGCGGTGGAGACTCTTCTGAGATGACGGCGTTCACGGTCACTACGGTCCTGAGGTGTGCAGTAGCATCAGCACATGCGATCTCGTCCTCTGGTGGGGGGTGGCTGACTGGGGCTCGTGACAAAGCATCAGGGATGCAGAGCAGCTTGCCAGCACGCCACACAGCTGTGAAGAGGTAGGGCGAGATCTTCTCCTTAAGGCGTTGGAGGCGGGGATTCTCGACCGCATCCAAGGAGTAGTGGTTCAGGATCGGGATAAGTGGCCGATGATCCGTCATGAGGTTGAAGTGTTGTAGGCCGATCAGATACAACCTACATTTGGACATGGCCCAGACGGCGGCTAACAGCTCCAGTTCGATGGTGGCGTAGCGAGTCTCGGCGTCAGTGAGAAACCGAGAGCCACACTGAACCAGACGAAGGCGTCCATTGCCGTGGTCCTGTAGCAGAGCGTATCCAATCCCGTAGAGGCGAGAGGCATCAGTCTGGAGGACAACTGGCAGGGCAGGGTCAAAGGAAGCGAGAACAGGTGGGCTAAGGAGAGCTGTCTTGACGCGACGGAATGCCTCATTATGGTCAGCTGTCCAGGTGAATGTTTTCTTGGGGCTCATCAGTGGGCGTAGAGGCTGTGCTGCAGCGGCGATGTCGGGGGTGAACTCAGCCAACTGGTTTACCAGGCCCATGAACGAGCGGAGGTTGGTCAGGTTGGCAGGAGTTGAGAAGTCCCGGATCGCGCTGACCTTTCCAGGATCAGCCGAGATGCCCTTGCCTGGGAGGGTGTACCCGCAGAAGTTCACACTAGGTGCGGCGACCACAAACTTGTCCTTGTTGAGGGTGATCCCGTACTTGCGGCACCTGGTGAGCATCTGGTGAATACGCTCAAGATGCGTGGAGTAATCCTCGTCATATAGGAGCACGTCGTCGATGACCTTGACACAGTTCGCCACACCCTGAAGGGCCATGTCACCACGGAGGCAGAAAGCATCGCCAGTAGCTGCAAAACCCATAGGTCCTCTGCAGTGCTGAAATCGGCCGTATGGTGTGATGAACGTCGTGAGGTGCTGATCTTCCGCAAGTTCCATCCGCCAGTACCCACATAAGGCATCTGCTGTAGTAAAGTACCTTGCCTTCGGGTCCACACTGCGTATAGCTGCGAAGGGTGTCGGTGAAGGGTGGGTCGGGCGGGAAACTTGACTATTCAGCTTGGTGAGGTCGACGGTGATACGAACTCCAGTAATGTTCTTGGCGACTGTTACCATGGGGTGACACCAATCCGAGGGGTCGTCACCAGCAGGCTTAATGATCCCCTGGGCTACCATAGAGTCGAGTTCCTTCTTAACTTGGCTCTGGAAAGCGAAGGGTATCTGTCTCTGTGGTGGATGGCGAAAGGTACTGCGTCATCCTTCAGGTGAATTCTCATGGGGGAGCCAGCCATTGGCTTGAGTGGAGCCGTCTTGAGGTCCTCCTTGGAAACCAGCACGTCCTTGAATTGCAGTAGGAAGAACTCCCTGGCTGCAGAAGGTGACGTATTGGGTGGGAGGGGCAGCTCCTTGCACCTGTTGACATGTTTTATTTCCAGAATTGGCTTAGGGAAGTCTGAAGATATTATGGCCAACTCTTGACAGTGGCCATAAGACAGTAGTGGCATCTGAACACCTTTGTGGACCTGAATCCTGGCAGAACATGACTGCTTACCTAGGGTGAGGGTAGCCTGAAATGTACCCAGAGCAGGTGCCATTGTAGAACCGTCTGCGGTGAGCGTTGTAGAAGTTGACGGTGGTTGCAAGCTGCTCCTAGGGATCCGCAGAATGTCGAGGTGTCTTGTGCCGATGACTGTGACGTCCGCACCTGTGTCAGGAAGCATCTGGATACGGGATGTGACGTCGCCGTATGACAGGTGAACACAGATGGGCTGAGGTGTCTTGCTGACTGGGGAAGAAGAGGATCCCACGCGACGACAGCGCTTGTTCTTCGCCGCCTGAGACTTGCAAGTAGTATTATTCTTCTTCTTTGACTGACAGCATTTGTCATAGTGTCCAATGCGGCTACAGGAGCGGCACTGAGCGTTGTTGGCAGGGCACTTCAGTGTCCTAGCCCAATGACCACGACGGCCACAGTTATTGCAGGTGCTGTCAGCGGCAGGGCATTCAGAACCATGCCGATGAGCACAATACTGGCAGGAATGACCTGGCGTCGAAGTCTGAAGTGATGCTGAAGATTGATGTGAAGCTGAAGTCGGATGTGAAGCTGAAGTCGGATGTGAAGCTGAAGTCGGATGTGAGGCTGAAGTCGGATGTGAGGCTGAAGTCCGGTCACGTCCTTTGTTCTTTTTATATGCGGAGATGGCACACAGCTGGTTAGATGGAGCACGAATGGCAGAAGTCGCACTTCTGGTGGCTTCGTAAGAGCGGCAGGTGGTGACAACATCCTGTAGAGAAGAGGCAGTGTCGAGGGAGATAAGCTTCTGAATTAGCTCTTCGTCCCGCACGCCCATGAGGATAATCATCTTCAGCTGTGTTTCCTCACAAGTCAAAGAGTTCCCAGGACAAACGTCAACCTCCTCAGCGATGCGTCCGAGTCGTACGTGAAAATAGGCAAACGACTCACCCTCCAGCTGCTTACAACTGAGAAGTTCTCTCCTACGGAGAGCTTCGTTGCGGAGGCCCTTGATATGCGTCTGTAGAGCATCCAAGACATCCTTCACACTCTTGTCTGTGTTGTGGGGAATTTGCAGGGTGTGCTCCAGGATACGTTACGTCTCTAGGGTGAGACACATCCTCATCTGGATCAGCTGTTTCTCCCTAGGCAACCTCGATAAATCGACCATCATCGAATAATCGTCCCACCTCCGACGCCATTCACGGAATACCTGGAACGAGGCATCAGCTTGGAGTGGCGGTGGACTCTGAGCGAGTGCTTTCTGTGGGGGGGGGCAAAGAAGTTGAAGAGGACCCTGCAGGTGCACCTGTGGACGAAGAGGCAGGTGTAGTAGCTGCTTGAAGGTTAACAGGTGCCAACAACTCGATAATGGCACTGAACCTGGCATTTTCTTGTTGACGTCTGTGATTCTCTTCACGCCTTCGTTCATTGTCTTCCTGTCGCCTCCTGATGTCGTCTTGTCGTCGGTTTTCTTCCAAAAACTGAATTAAATGAAGGAAGTCGACACCTGTGGCAGATTGCGGACGTGTGTAGTGGGGGCTAAGGGTGGGTGGGGCCGCTTGATCCACTTCCCGATCCACTTGGAGTCCACTTACTGCACCGACATCCGTCTGAAGTAGGGCTTGTTGGGTATCTGAAGAAAACCCAATAAATTCCTGATCTTCCATATGGCCTGGTTTATTTCTCTCACAATTACTGTAATTAATAAGTGAGCAGAAGAGCAATCGTCTTTAAATGGAAGATATCTGCAAGTGTGTGTGTGTGTGCGCGTTCGTTCGTGCGTGTACTCGGGGCAGGCTGGCTAGCGGGCTGGCGGTTACAGCAACTCCCCTCGCTGGCTCAGACACTCAGTGCTGGTCGAGACATGAACGGGGATGGATGTCAAAACTTGAGCTCTCCCATAGCTCTTAAAAAGGCTCCCCTCTTTTGTAAAAAGTGCAGGAACACGGGGAAACACTTTAAAGACACTAAAGGGTACACACAACACTGAAAAAGCACTTCACAACACTGCACTGTAAATCCAGGAATATCGTGTTGAGGTACGCGCCAAGATCCACCCGACAAGAGGAGTTGACAAGATGGCGGCTCCGAGAGAGATTCTGTGTCCACTCCAATTCTGAATAACGTGATGTCCCAGCTAAACACTGCACGTAGGTTCGTACCCTACTCACTGCGCCATGTATGATACTCAGGTGGTCCTTGCACTCAGGGGTAAAGGAAACACTGATGTCAAGTCCGTAAGTTCTATTCCTGGTACAAACACAAAGGAGTTGAGACAAGGGTAAACAGCGTCCTGTCTTGGAATCTCTCTGGCTATCTCTCTGCGCATGCGCGTACAGCGTGCATGTGCCCAAAGCATGAACTAACACTTGGTGACAAAAGGGAGTGTGATTATAAAACATATAATACAGAGACCTGAATCAATAATGGTAAATAGTACAGAGTTACATATTACAGGCATATTCGTCTCATATATCTACAGATATAAGGCCCAAGTCTTTCTTTATTTAATTTAACTTCACTCGTATAATGGCAGACACTAGAGTTAAAAATCACCAACACACACTTGCTGAAATATTGTCACATTATATTCCTCACCATATTTGTCAGGTACCTAAATGTTGTTTTTTCTCACAGCGTTTTTAATGTAGAGTATTATAACATCAATTAACGTAGCCCAATGGTTGATTAATCGGAATGAAAAGACACTGTAGTTGTCTGAGAAGGCCAGTGATGAGGGTCTGTAGTTCAGGAGAAAATTATGGGGATTAATATAACTTACACTTTAGATTCCATGAGAAAAATTGAAGGGAATTTACAATAAACTTTGGTGTCGCTGATTGTGCTGACAGAAGTGTGATATTACAGGGTGTAATTGTCAAGTATTGAATCAAACCGAAGTAACTAGTGGGTGTAAAATATGAAAGGTTACGTTAGGTTAACCTTGGTGAAATTAGGTTAGTCTACATTAGGTTAAATTAGGTTAGGGTAAGTTAAGTTAGGTTGGTTTAGGTTAGTTTAGGTTAGGGTTAAATTGGGTTAGGTTGATTAGATTAGTGTATCCTCATCACAGAAAGCTTAACAACTAACAATATACAGTACTATGCTAGATATTCGTCAACAAGAAAACAATCAAATTGAAATCGCCCTTCCATCACACGTTATATTACAGACATTACTGAAAACAATAGGCAACTGTGCAAAGCTGTAGAATTTTTTTTTTCTACTTTATAACCGACTGTAGAAACTGTATAGACCGTACAGCCTGGAGAGCTGCCAATCAAGTAATCATGATCATACCACTCAAGCGTGGAAAGGTCCGTAAAATGTTGTTGATGAATGGATTAGGTTAAATTAAGCTTGTCTGAAAGATTAGACTAGGTTGTGATATGTTCATATAAAGTTAGATTACACTATTTTGGACTAGGTTAGGAAAGGTTGGATTAGGATAAACTAGATTAGGTTAAGTTTGGATAGGATGTGTTAGATAAAAGCAATTTTGGATTAGGTTGTAGTGGACGTCTCTCCTACAACTGCATAGCCGCATGCCACCTGCTACGTCTTCCCTAGCAACCAAACGAGCGGCCCAGGGGGGGACGTCACCAGATGCCACAGTATCCTAGCAACGGAGTCAAAAGACCGGCGACTTCCCACGCTTGACTCACGGGTGACTCACGGCTGCTGTGTATATAAGCTCTGTCTCTCCATTGAGATTCATTCTGCTCTCGGTTCCTGAACACGCAACACCTCCTCCAAGCAAGCTCCTCGCTGTCCCATTCTCATTCAACCTGGAGGCCAGCAACAGGCAACATCTTCTCTAACGAAGATCCTGCACATCTACCTCCTTCAACACGCTACTCACCGAACGTGTCTACTGAGCAGCTCCTCACCACACGGCATCTCCAGCACCAGACTGTCTACCATATAACTTCTATTATACAAGAAAACCACCACCTTAGAGTTTCCATCCATCCTGAGTGCTAGACATTATATCACGAAACCCTACAAGGTTGTGGGTATTAGTATAGTTTAGATCATCCAGCGATTTTTAGGATTTTAAGTTTTGGAATTAGTGGTTTAGACAATTCTAATACACTTCTAAAGCATTTCTTTTGTTCGTGATTATTTTCAGAGAAAATCGCAATAGATTAATGGAAAATCTTCGTATTTTTTCTTAGTTCTTGTTATTGTTACCACTGTCTCAGAGAGCTCCTGTGTGTTCGTTTATTGATTACTATGCTCATTATGAATGCGCTGTAGTCTTTGCATGCGCAGTTGTTCTTTCGACGTTGATTAGTGGCTATGATTGTAGATCAACCAATCACAGCTCGGTATAGATCCCTCCTCCCCCCACCAAGTTCGCCAATCCGAGAAAGAGCGGCCAGGCTTCAGGCAGTGCGACCTGTGGATGACGAGTGGTTTCATGACCCCAACTCGGAGTCTTCTGAGTCTAATTAAGATAAAGTTTAGAGTTAAGTTAGGTTTTGGATTATTCTGACCTCCATTTCTATCGCAAATTACTACTTTTTGTGATTTTCTCCACCCAAAACCCCTCCTTTTTTGCGATTTTCTCTGAAAGAATGCTATAGAAGAAAGGTGTCTTACAATTGTCTAAACTACTGATTCCAAAATAAAAAATCATAAAAATTACTGGATGATCTAAAAGATAATTTTACCAGTTTAGGCCAGTCTAAGCATAGATTAAGTTAGACGGGCTAGCCTGAATTGTTTTACGATCGGTTAAGCTCGTGTAAGCTATGGTTTGCTTACGTTAGGATAGAATACATTAGGTTGGCTTATGCTTGCTTAAATTGATTGAGGTTAGCCCAGAGGCCCTAGAGGGTCTAGACTGTTGAGGTTGAACAGCTTATTAGGTTTGGCAAGCAAGAGATAAGTTAGGATAAGTTTTGTTAAGTTTAGTTAAGCTAGGCTGGATTAGGTTAGGATAGGTTAAGTGTGGTAAGGTTAAACCGGATTAGGGTAGTATTAGTTAGGTTTGGTACGATGGGATTTTACCTTCGTTGACACGCACAGTGTGTCTTAGTTATATTGTAATCCCATCGCCTGAATGTGGCACAGACACAGGCGTGTCGAGTCGTTTCTGTGCAGCACCACGAACTGTCCGGTGGCTGACACTGGAAAGAAAATGTAATGGTATTTAACCTCTGTTTATTAAATATATGGAACCTCTGTGACTGTTTTACAGTTTCTCTCCAACTCATCCTGTGATGTGTGCAACGGCGAGTCACTCCCTTCTCTGGCTCATAAAATTTCAACTCGTATATCCTTCACCAAACATCATGTCCTTTGGAACTCCTTGCCATCTTGCTCACCATCCACCTACAATTACAACACTTAATGGTAAAACATACCAGTGACGTCACGAAGGGGGGGGGTTATTGGGGGGGTTTACACCTCTAATAATTTTGCTTGTGGGTACATCCGTAAATGGTTTGGGTATAGAATAAAAAAGTCAAGGAATAAAAAGAGTAGATGTAGCCCGAATCCTTAAGTTACGCAAATGGTACCCACATAAGTGGATATTATGTGCTCGTTCAGAGGTAAAACTTTTAGGAACAAATAAGATGTGCAAGCTGAATTATATCCCGCAAAACAGCTTCTTCTTTTTTTTTGGGGGGGGGGGCATATACTTAAGTTCTTGTGGATACACACGTCTTACAACCCCCCAATTAATACATTCTAGCGACGTTAATGAAACACATACCTCTTACTACTCAGCTAATTCATTTACTTTATCTTCCTTATCCAATGGTGTTCCAGGTAAGCTTAACTTGAATATTGGTCACTTATCGGCAGAAATGCATTTAAAGAGCATGTTGTCCTGTGTACTTCCCTGACCTACCAGAGCAGGGAAAATAATCATGTGGGTAACAAGCGAGGCGATCCACAATACCTGGGAAGATGAGCCCAAAAGACTGGGGGAAGTGAACCTATACATGTCTGGAGGGGCAGGACTCATGTACAGTTTGGTGGGGGCAGATAAATGAACTCACAAAACTGGAGGGCTTGAATCTGCAAACCTGGAACAGCTAAGCTTAAAGACTTGAAAGGAGAAACCTATACTACTTGGAGGGGAGGTACTGACCGTTGAAGACCTGGTCGGTGTACTCCTCTGGTGTGTCACTGAGGGTGGCGACGATGGGCTCCACGTTGTAGTCAGTTGTGTTACCCACCTGCCAGGACAACACTTTACAACATCATTTTGTTTAAACTAAAGAGAAAAAAACTATTAAACTAGAGAAATTTAAGATGTGGCTTCCATGTGGTATTGGGATGTCAAACCCCAAGCACAAAACCTGCTTCCTTCAATTACTACTTTAACATTTGACTGGTATATGGGAGGTAATTGTCTGCGTAAAGCACATTAAGCAGAAAAGGTATATATTGTTTTTATTGTAGGAAACTCACATGGATGTTGGTATTTTTGAGGAGGACCGAGTCGTTGCCGAAGGAGGTGGTGACAGTGATACTGGTGACAAGATTGGCGCCGCCCACGTTCAGTGCCACCCAGTTATATTGCGCGTCCTTCACACAGAAGCAGTCTGTGAAGTTCTGGCGGTTCCGGGTTTAAACATTCAAATGCCACATTTTATTCAGGCCTTTCGTATGATGTAAGTGTATATAATTTTATCCTGTAGATGCTTTCATTGACCACAAAAGACACTAGCCCTGATGTTATGATCAGTACTTTTCCATGCATTAACCAGTATCACACACTATTTGTCAACAACATCTGCCAGTTGCTTGGTTTCTTCCATTTTCACATTATAACTACTAAGCGTTTTATGATTTTTAACCAACAGTTATATTATTCTCAGAACTGAGGGACACACTGCGATGCGAAAGAGATGTTGTAGTACTGGCGATAAGATCTATCAGCTTTATTGAGAGACTTCTGTTGGGCTATAGTCCAACCTTGCCTGTAGCTTGGAGGCTTGACCAGCATCTCCAGGAGGCTCGAGGCAGCACAGGACGACGCCCCCGGTGTTATTTTGAACAGATGATCGCCACCATGTCCGCACCCTGCACCACCACCATGCCCCCACCCCTGCACCACCACCACCATGCCCTGCACCACCACCACCACACGCCCCACCCCTGCACCACCACCACCATGCCCCACTGACCAACACCACCAGTCCCACCACCCCTGTACTACCACCACCACACCCCACCAACCCTGCACTACCACCACCACAGTCCCCTGCACCCCCACCCCACATCCCACCAACCCTGCACCACCATCCCCAACCCACCACCACCACCATGTCCCTACCTGCACCACCACCACCATGCCCCAGCCCCAACCAACTACGTCCCACCAACCTGCACCACCAACCACCATGTCCCCCACCACTGCACCAATCTAACCAACCATGTCCTAACCAACCTGCACCACCAACCAACCACACCCACCATCCAGTACCACCACCACCACGCCCTCCCTGCACCACCACCACGATGTCCACCACCCCTACACCACCACCACCATGGTCCCCAACCCACACCACCCACCAACCCCACCACCCACCACCTGCACCACACCACCATGTCCCACCTGCACCACCGAACCAACCAGTCCCACCCTGCACCACCAACCACAGTCCCAACCTGCACCCCAACCTGCACCACCAACCAACCATGTCCCACCAACCTGCACCACCACCACCATGTCCCCAACCTGCACCACCAACCACCATGTCCCACTAACCTGCACTACCACCACCATGTCCCCAACCCTGCACCCCACCACCAACAGTCCCAACCTGCACCACACCATGTCCCCAACCCCTGCACCACCCAACCGTCCCACCACCCACAGCCCACATGCCCCACCAACCTGCACCACCACCACCATGTCCCCAACCACCACCAACCATGTCCCACCAACCTGCACCAACCACCACGTCCCACCCACCCTGCACCACCCCAACCCACCACGTCCCACCGCTGCACCAACTAACCCACTACCCCACCAACCCACCACCACACCATGCCACCACCACCTGCACCACACCACCAATGTCCCCACCACACCCACCCACACCTGCACCACCAACCACCAGTCCCACCAACCTGCACCACACCACCACCACGTCCCAATCTCTGCACCCACCACCAGCCCCATCCCTGTACTCAACCCACAGTCCCACCCACCCCTGCACTAACCACCATGCCCCTGTCCTGCACCACCCACGTCCCACCACACCTGCACCACCACCACGTCCCACCACCTGCACCACCACCACCATGTCCACCACCCCACCACCACCACCATGCTCCCACTACCACTGCACCACCACCACCATGTTCCCCCAACCCCCACCAACACCCGTCCCCATGCACCACCACCCCTGTACCACCAGCACCACCAACCACACGTCCCACCACCACCACCCCATCCGTCCCAACCTGTACCACCACCAACCAGTCCCAACCACCTGCACCACCAACCAACCATGTCCCAACCAACCTGCACCACCACCATCCCACCAACCTGTACCACCAACCCCATGGTCCCACCAACCTGTACCAACCACCACACCACGTCCCACCAACCTGCACCACCACCACCACGTCCCACCACCCCTGCACCACGCACCACGTCCCACCAACCTGCACCACCACCACCACAGTCCTACCACACCACCACGCCCCACCCTGCACTACCACCACAGCTCCAACCAACTCTGCACCACCACCACCACATTCCCCACCAACTCCCTGCACCACACCCCACCATGTCCCACAACTCTGCACCAACCAACCATGCCCCACCACCTGCACCACCACCACCATGTCCCAACCTGCACTGACTACCCACCACGTCCCACCACCCCAAGCTGCACCACCACCACCATGCTCCATCTCCTGCACCACCACCACCATGTCTCACCAACTCTTGCACCACCACCACCAGCTCCACCACCTGCACTACCACACCCACACCATGCTCCACCATCCCTGCACACACCACCATGCTGCCCCAATCCTGCACACACCACCACAGCTCCCACCACCTGGCCCACCACCACCATGCCCCCTGCTACCACCACCACCATGTCCCACTTCCCCTGACACCACCCACCACAGTTCCCACCATCCCGGCACTACCACTCCATGTCTAACCACTCTGCACTACCACCCCACCATGCCCCACCACCCCACCACCACCACCATGCTCCCCACTCTGTATTACCACCACCATGCCCCACCACCTGCACCACCACCACCATGTTCCACCAACTCTGCACTAACCCCACCAGTCCCAACCCACCACCCCCACCCTGCACCACTCCACGTCCCAACCACGTCCCACCAACCACCACGTCCCAACCTGCACCAACCAATCACGTCCCAACTAACCTGCACCAACCACAGTCCCCAACCTGCACCACCAACCCCATGTCCCAACCAACCCCACCACCACCCCACCTCCCAACTCTGCACTAACACCCATGTCCCACCACAACCTGCACCACCACCACCACCCCAATCTGCAACCCCACCACGTCCCCCAACCTGCACCACCAATCCAACCACGTCCCAACCATTCACACCACCCACCACGTCCCAACTAACCTGCACCACCAACCACCACGTCCCACCAACCAACTGCACCAACCAACCAACCACAACCCAACTAACTCCCACAATCCAACCAACCAACCTGCACCAACCAACCACCATGTCCCAACTAACCTGCACCACCAACCAACCACGATCCACCACCCCTGCACCACCAACCACCATGCTCCCACCACCTGCACTACCACCACCATGTCCCACCACTCCCTGCACTACCACCACCATGTCTCCACTACCTCTGATTCAAACCACTGTCGCCTCCCCACCCCTGTACTCACACCACCACCATGTCCCCCATCTCTGCACCACTACAACCATCATGCTCCTCACCACCCCTGCACCACCAGCCCCCCAACCATGTTCCACCACCACCATGTCCCCACCTGCACCACCACCACCAGTCCCACCACCCCTGTACCACCACCCCACCATGTCTCCCACCCTGCACCACCACCACCACGCCCCAACCTGGCCACCACCACCATGCCCCCACCTGCACTACCACCATGCCCCACCAAACCTGCACCACCCAACCAACCATGTCCCAACCTGCACACCAACCCCAACCATGTCCCCAACCTGCACCAACCACGTCCCAACCCACCACCAACCAACCACGTCCCACCACCTGTGCACCAACAACCAACCACGTCCCAACCTGCACCACCACACCAACCAGTCCCAACCTGCACCACCAACCACCACGTCCCCAACCTGCACACCAACCACCCACAACCCCAACCTGCACCACCACAACCACCATGCCCCACTCTGTACCACCACCACCACGCCCCACCACCCCTGCACCACAACCAACCCAGTCCCACCAACCCCAACCAACCATGTCCCCCAACCCTGCACCACCAACCATGTCCACCAACCTGCACCACCAACCACCCGTCCCACCAACCTGCACCACCAACCAACCAGTCCAACCAACTGCACCACCAACCCACCATGTCCCACCAACCCACCACCACCAACCATGTCCCAACCAACCTGCACCACCAACCAACCACGTCCCACCACCTGCACCACCAACCACCACGTCCCACCAACCTGCACCACCACCACCACAGTTCCACCAACCTGCACCACCAACCCGTCCCACCAACCTGCACCAGTCCCCACCCCACCAACCCACGTCCCACCCCTGCACCACCACCCCACCATGTCCCACCAACCCCACCACCACCAACCAGTCCCACCCCAACTGAACAACCAACCACGTCCCACCAACCTGCACCACCAACCAACCACGTCCCACTAACCTGCACCACCAACGTCCCACCAACCTGCACCACCAACCCAACCATGTCCCACCAACCTGCACCACCAACCAACTCAGTCCCAACCAACTCCAGCACCACCAACCCACGTCCCACCACCCCCTGCACCACCAACCACCATGTCCCCACCTGCACCACCCATGTCCCACCACCTGCAACCACCACCACGTCCCCACCTGCACCACCATCCACAGTCCCACCACCTGCACCACCAACCACCATGTCCCACCACCCCTGCACCACCAACCCATGTCCCCACCAACCCTGCACCACCACCACCACACTCCTGCACCACCACTGCACCACCACCCACCAGTCCCCACCTGCACACCAACCCATGTCCCACCAACCCTGCACCACCACCACCCAGTCCCCAACTCTGCACCACCAACCCACGTCCCACCAACCTGCACCACCACCACCATGTCCCACCCAACCCTGCACCACCCAACCACGTCCCAACCAACCTGCAACCAACCAACCAGTCCCACCACCAACTGCACCACCAACCACCACGTCCCACCAACCCGCACCACCAACCATCCCTGTCCCACCAACCTGCACCAACCATGTCCCACCCCACCCAACTGCACCAACCAACCACGTCCCAACCAACCTGCACCACCCCAACCACTGTCCCACCAACCTGTCACCACACCACCACCACAGTCCCACCAACCTGCACCAACCCACGTCCCAC